CCCATTGTTCCCTTTTAAAGGGGAAAAGAAGGAGGGGGGAGGTGTGGCACATGCCTATAATCCTAGTGATTTTGGAGGCTAAGGCAGGAGGATAGCAAGTTCAAGGCCAGTTTCAGTAATTTAGTGAGATCCTAAGCAACTTAGTGAAACCCTAATCAAAATAAAAAGGGGGCTGGGGTTGTGGCTCAGCAGTAGAGTGCTTGCCTAGTGTCTAGCACGTGTGAGGTCCTGGGTTCATCCTCAGCACCACATAAAAATGAGTAAATAAAGATATTGTGTTCAACTACAACTAAAAAATACATATTTTAAAAAAATTAAAATAAAAATTATAAAGGTCTAGGGATGTGACCCATTAGTTCAGCGTCCTTTAAATCCCCAGTACAGAAATAAAGAAAGGAGGGAGGGAGGGAGAGAGAGGGAGAGAGGAAGGGAGGGAGGGAGAGAGGAAGAAAGGGTGAGGGGGGAGAGGGGAAGGGGGAGGGAGAGAGGGAGTGAGAGAGAGAGAAAGAAAGAAAGAACCAACCAGTGGGTATGGTTGTGCATGCCTATTATCCCAGTGACTAGAGAGGCTGAGGCAGGAGGATCCCAAGTTCAAGGCCAGTCTCAGTAACTTAGTGAGGCCCTAAGCAACTTAGTGAGAGCCAGAATCAAAATAAAAAGATTTTTTAAAAAGGCTGAGACCAGGCATGGTGGTGTACACCTGTAACCCCAGTGGCTCAGGAGGCTGAAGCAGGAGGATCAGGAATTCTAAGCCAGCCTGAGCAAAAGCAAGGCACTAAGCAACTCAGTGAGACCCTGTCTCTAAATAAAATACAAAATAGGGCTGGGGATGTGGCTCAGTGGTCGAGTGCCCCTGAGTCCAATCCCGAGTATCGGAAAATAAAAAATAAAAGAAAAAGGGAAAAGAAAAAGAAAATAAATGAAGGAGTCATGGAAAAAGAACTTCTTCTTATAACAACACCCAAACCAAAAGCAGGAATTTCTAGGAATAACAGGGAATTGGCCAGTGCTTCTTCCTTAGAACACTCTTGCACAGCTACTCTCATTTCTTCCTTGACCGTGTCACCTCTGAACATTTTCCTCCTGACCTCAGCAAATGTTGGATATAGAAAAACTGCCCATTTCAGGTCCTTGATTCCTTAAAACTCATTATGAAGTGATGTTGTGTAGGTGTTACCTATGTCTAAACAATGCCAAAACGGCTAGTTAAAAAAAGCAAAAATAATACTAAAAAAACAACTGGTTCTATAAACCCGTTTATGAGATAATGTATATGTTAGGAGACATCAGTGAGCTGTGTGTGGACTGTTGAGCATCGCAGCCTCCTGAGGGAATAGGTCTGGCATTGGGAACTCCCCACCTCTCACAGGGATTGACCACCTGATGCAGGTGAACTTCCCCCTCAAGCTCTGCCAAAGACCCCCTACAGCACCTGAGATGGGTGTGACCTGCCAAGATGCCAATCAACCTTCTGACTGCAAGACAACATGAAGCAAGACTCCGCCCTTGAAAACTTGTCCCTGCCTTTGATTGTACCCCCTTAAACAAACCACTGGAGCCATTTTTCCTTTGGTTCCAGCACCCATATGGACTAGGTCTATTAGGGGCTTCATTTTCTGTAAATATATTTTGAGTATTTTTGCTTTGTTATTTACTAATTATTTGAGATTGTAAGTTTTAGGGTGGCTTGGGTTATCCTGGGCAGGAAGAAGGACCCCTTAACGAGACGCTGGCCATCATCCCCACTTCGATAGGTATAAACAACTAATTGTGACAATTACACATCAAATAACTTGTCTAGTTTTTTTGGGTTTTGTTTCCTGAACTGACTGTGTGTGTGTGTGTGTGTGTGTGTGTGTGTGTGTTTGTGTGCATGCACACAGCCCGTAACAGACAAAGGAAATGTGTTCTGCAGTAATATAGCCAACCCAAATAGGCAGAATCAACAGATTATATTATGATTATTTCCCCCAAAGATACAACATAGGTGGGTCACTGGAAAATTTTTGGAACTAGAAAAACACAACTATGCCCTGTGGGTTTTATGTTACCTACTACAGTGGGCAAAGTAGTACCCATCCTGGTTTTGTGATTTACCCTTTCCCACGCTGGCCCACTTTGCTTATAGCTTCCTGAATCTCCTTTCTCTTTTCTCCATCTGTCTTAAAACTGCATCCAAATAGATTGCTCTACTGAAAGTAACCCTCAGCTCTGCTCTCCTGAACTGATATGGTTCTATCTTTTCAGGCATTAAGTCCAAAACCCTCATTTTTGGGTTTCCAAAGCCTTTCATACTTCTCTTCCCTCATCCTTCCCCACTCCTTGAAAATCAGAACATATTGACATGTAACAGAAATACTTGATTCCATACTGAGACCCAACTCAGACCTCAGGAAGTCCTGGGTTTTCAATTTTGGTTTTACCATTTTTCAGCTTTCGCAAGTTACTCAGCTTCTAAGAATTATTTCACCTGGAAAAAAAAATGAACCTAAAAATAGCAGTCTGGTAGACAGGCACAGATGAACTAAGATCACATGGTATATAAATCAATCACTATAGCACCTGGGCCACAGAGGTGCTCAATGAACAATCAGTCCCTTCCTTTTCCTCTAATTTCATCCAGTTTGGGGATCTTCCCAGTTTCTTATTCACACTCCCTAGGAACCCTCACTTTGGCTGCAGTGTCCACACAGGGCAGCCCCAACTCTTGGTTATTGTTCCATTCACCTCCTTGTGTCAAAAACACGTCTGGAGACTGAATTTGAGGGAGGTGACAAGTGCTCTGCTCAAAATTATTTATATTCATATTTTAAGTATATTGATTAATCATCCATATATACTTCTAGATGGTTCATTAGATTGGGTATATGTTTGACCAACATTTTAGATTTAGATTCCTGCATTTTAAAAAAATAAATCTTGAATGTATCTATAAATGTGTTAATGTATATTACAGACACTCATAAATACATATGAGTGCATACATATATTGTTTAATTGTAGAAGTTCTTTGTATTTATTGAGCACTTTTATTGTGTCAAGCACTGTGCAGAGGTAGCTCGTTTAATTCTCACAGTAATCCTACTATCTTGTACAATTATGACACCAATTTTACAGATGAGAATTTTAATTAACTTGGGCAAAGTCAAATAACTAGGAAGTAAATATTAATGCACTCAAAACTACTAAATAACAGATTGTGTTGAGGTGCTTGTGGGGTTTTTTAAATTTTAAACTTATTTATTTATTCTAATTTGCACATGACAGCAGAATGCAATTCAATTCATAGTACACATATAGAACACAATTTTTCATTTCTCTCGTACACAAAGTAGAGTCACACCATTCATGTCTTCATACATGTACTTAGGATAATGATGTCCATCTCATTCTGCCATCTTTCCTACCCGTTGCCCCCTCCCTTCCCTTCCCTCCACTTTGCCCTATCTAAAGTTCCTCCATTCCTCCCATCCCCACCCCCCACTATGAATCAACATCCATATATCAGAGAAAATATTCATCCTTTGTTTTTTTGAGATTGACTTACTTCAATTATATATTTTCCAACTCCATCCATTTACCTGCAAATGCCATGATTTTATTCTCTTTTAATGCTGAGTAATATTCCATATACCAGTATTATATGGAATATTACACATATTCCATTGTGTAATATTCCACTGAGTAATATTTCATATACCACAGTTGCTTTATTCATTCATTTATTGAAGGGCATCTAGGTTGGTTCCACAGTTTAGCTATTGTGAATTGTGCTGCTATAAACACAGATGTGGCTGTGTCACTGTAAATATGCTGTTTTTAAGTCCTTTGGATATAAACCGAGGAGTGGGATAGCTGGATCAAATGGTGGTTCCATTCCAAGTTTTCCAAGGAATTTCCATACTGATTTCCATATTGGTTGCACCAATTTGCATTCCCACCAGCAATGTATGAGTGTGCCTTTTCCCCCACATCCTCACCAACACTTATTGTTTGTATTCTTAATAGCTACCATTCTGACTGGAGTGAGGGAAAATCTTAGTTTTGATTTGCATTTCTCTAATTGCTAGAGATGTTGAACATTTGTTCATACATTTGTTCATTGATTGTATATCACCTTCTGAGAAGTGTCTGTTCAGTTCCTTGGCCCATTTATTGATTGGGTTATTTGGTTTTTTGGTGTTATGATTTTTGAGTTCTTTATATACCTTAGAGATTAATGCTCTATCTGATGTGTGGTAAAAATTTGCTCCCATTCTGTAGGCTCTCTCTTCACCTCACTGATTATTTCTTTTGCTGAGAAGAAGCTTTTCAGTTTGAATCCATCCCATTTATTGATTCTTGATTTTATTTCTTGCTCTATAGGAGTCTTGTTAAGGAAGTCCGGGCCTAACCCGACATGATGGAGATTTGGGCCTACTTTTTCATCTATTAGGGGCAGGGTCTCTGTTCTAATTCCTAGGTCCTTGATTAGAATCCATGACCAGTACAGAAGAAGAAATGACAGAGAAGGAGCTCAGGTGGTGCTTGTGTTTTGATTCAAAGTATAGGGGCTATAGTTGGACGGCTTTTCATCTCCAGTAAAGTGCACTGCTGAGCTCGGAGTAGACGTAAACAGGAGGACAGGTGTTACTTTAAGAGGGTGATGGAAGCTGTAACCTGAAGCCTTCTCCAGCGCTTGCTTGCTCTCAGCCAGAGGAGTCTGGGAGGCTGCACCCAGCCAGCACGCATCTGTAAACTCCTGCGGGTCAGGCGCGCCTTGCTTCCAAAGTTGGAGCTCTCCTTGATGGGAGGGGGCGGGGAGGAGGGGAGACCGATGACGTCACTCGGGAGCGGGGATAAAGCTCCCTGGTTGCACTCCGGGCTAGTAAACGGCCCCAGGGAGCAGAGTGGCTTGTGCCGCTGCGGAACTCCTGCGGTGTGCCCTGCCGCCCCTCTTTGCCCCCCATTCCCAGGCATCCAAAGCGCTTCTTCTGCGGAAGGTCGCGCCCAGAGGCACCATGCCCCAGAACGTGGTCCTCCCAGGCCCTGCGCCCTGGGGCTTCAGACTTTCGGGGGGCATAGACTTCAATCAGCCTTTGATCATCACCAGGGTAGGTGTTTTCCAGTGTTGCTTTTGTTACAATTCGGGGACTCGCGACCCTGGTTGCGCAGCGGGTGCCTCAAAGTGAAGAGTGGCCTGGGAACCTGGGGTGGGGCGGGCGGGACGGTGCACTGGTGGGTCTTGGGCTTCTGGCTCCAAGTTCGAAAGGCAACAGCAACTGGCAAGTTGAGGTTTGAAGGATGCAGAACCGTTTTGAGACTTAACAAAGTCAGCTTGAAAGTTCTCCGCATCCTCTGGGTCCCCAGCAACAGACAGAACGACAGGTATCAGAGAAGGTGAGGCTGCGGGGACTGGGGCACCTTCTCCTCTGTGCACCCACCTCCCTTCTGTAACAAATAGATGGGGTGCAGGGAATGCGAAAAGAAGCATTAAAAAACACCCGCGGTTTTTTCTTGGAAATAGATGCGCATCTGAGCGATTTTCTTATTTGAATGACAACTTCAGCAGGGCGCTGTTCGCAGGGCACAACCTCGGCTGGCCAAGCTGGAACCGCTCATATCAGCCCAGACAGGGAAAATATTACTAATGTGTGTTCCTGGGTTCCCAGGCATTTTGAAAAAATGTTTTTCCATGGCTTTGGAATCATCATCCTTTAACAAACTACAAAGAAAGTGTGTCACTTTTTAATTTACCTAGTGGAAAGTTACCAGACTGATAACTCTAAAAATAATACTTTAATATCCAAGTCAAACTTTTCCTTATTTAACGTTTTGTAAAGCACTATCTAATTAGGAAAAATGAGAAAGTAAAAATGAAACCACAGAGTTTCTCCCCATCAGTGAATTTCTAGAATTAATTCTAAAGCATTATTTGCTTTAGTTGATCTTTTTCTAACACAAGTATTTTTCTTAATAGAAAACAATTATTTCAGTTACAACCTATAAAGCATTTTAAACCTAACTTAAAGGAATAAGCTTTCTGAACATTAAACTTTCATTTTCCAACTGTTAAGTTTTTCTCTTTTTTAACTGCTTGTAGTTCATTTTACAAATATATATGTATAATCTGATCGCTCATAGATTTTGAATAAGGCAATATCTTTTAAATTCTGTCCTATTTATATTTCTATGAGATTTGAGAACAAATATTCTTTTAAAAAATATCTCAAAATGTGTATCATAAAGGCCGTATAATAGATCATTTGCAAGCTTGGATTTACATTTTTCAAAAACATATAAACACATCTGACAAGTGTTTTTTATGAGACATGAAAATTTAACATAGCCCCAAAAATGTTCCTAAGTAAATTAAGCAGAAAATGCTCCTGTGATCTGAGCCAAGCAATTCCTTTTATAGACTTACCAAAGAAAACAGTTTCCATTATCTCTATTAAGAAACATTTTTAGTTTATGGAGTATAGCTTTCATTTGTTTATATTAAATTAAACAAGCTTTTGAGTTCTAACAAAGAATAAATCATATTTAGGCTAAATCCTAAAGAAATAATTTTGTCACTTCGGGGAACTAATAAAAGAAATATTTTTGTTATTACTATACAAAATGTCAGTATAATTAATCATATGTTTGAATTTTGAATTGTTGGCATTATACGCAAAGTTTATTTTAAAGTATTACACCTGCAGTTGGACTAACAAAGCTATTGGTAAATTATCTGATACAATGCTAATTATGGATTCTTTGAAATGCCAGTTCTATCTTGAATTTCTAACTCAATTAATTTGTGTCACTCATTTTGACACTTGATTCAATAATAGTGCATTCCCAGATATGAGTATTTCATTTGAGTTTACCTTTTCAATGATTTTAATTCCAGGAGAGCTGGTTAAACTGAACTGTTTTTTATCCCAAGTGTCCCTGAAGCCATGTACAGCATAGATTGTTGTTGAATGAATGAATTCATATTCACTTGGACTTTAATGCCTTAGTGAACAGACCTAGTTAATATTTCCACCAAGATGATAATAATACTGAAAATCATTTGGAACAAAACTAAAAGGTGTTACTCAGAAATAATTTGTGTTGGGGATGTAGCTCAATGGTAGAGCACTTGCCTAGCATGAGTAAGGCCCTGAGTTTAATCCTTAGCTCCACAACAAGCAAACACATTAAAAACACCAATAATTTCTTTAAAAAATGTGTTGTTTTTAGGTGGAATTTTCTATTTTACAATTTTCATTTAATTTTTTGAAGTAGCAAGTGTGTGTGTTATTGTACTCTTGCTTGCCATGCATTATTCTAAGCCCTTTGTATTCACTAACTTACTTAAATCTCACCATAATCCTCTGAGAGTAGTAGTAGTAGCAAAACCAACTTTTGCAGAATAAAAGAAGGAGGATTCACAAGGCTCATTAGCCTGCCAACAATCACAAATAGCAGGACGGGATTTGATGCCAGATCAACTTGCCTCCAAAGCCTGCCTTCTGAAGCCCATACTTGTGAAAAATTCCATTTATTTTTCAGATAGTTCTGTTCTGAGCTGTCCGATATGTCACAGGTTCTATCAATACTATGTCTTCAAGGTCTAATAATTTCCATTTTTCCGCCGTTGTTATTCAAGATTTCATAACTTTCATAACTGTCCCCATCAAGACATTGATCTCTCCAATCCACCCTGCATTTTCTTACCACCCATGTTTTTTAAAAATTTGTTCCAATTAGTTATACATGACAGCAGAATGCATTTCAATTCATTCTAGACAAATGGAGCACAACTTTTCATTTCTCTTGTTGTACACGATGTAGTGTAACACTGTTAATGCAATCATACATATACATAGGGTAATGATGTCCATCTCCTTCCACCATCTTTCCTACCCCATGCTCCCTTCCCTCCCCTCACTCCCCTCTGCGCAATCCAAAGTTCCTTATTCTTCCCCTGCTTGCCCCCAGTAATTAGAGAAATGCAAATCAAAACTACTCTAAGATTTCATCTCACTCCAGTCAGAATGGCAATTTTATCAGAATATAAGCAACAATTAGTGTTAACAAGGATTGCTGGTGGGACTACAAACTGATGCAACCTCTTTGGAAAGCAGCATGGAGATTCCTTAGAAAACTTGGAATGTTACCATCTTTGAAAAATGCAGGGTTGCTCCTCTCTCTCCCATTCTTAAAAATCCTTCAATGGCATCACCAACTTGTGGAGAATGAAGTTTGTAACTTTAGCATAGCATTCATAGCTTTTCACTATTTATTCCAACTCAGCTTTCGAATTTCATTTCTCCCCTCTCCCCCGCTTTCCTCCTCTCACTCCATACCTAAGCAGTGGTACCACTACACTGGGGCTGCTTAAATTTCCCTAACATGCCTTTGCTTCAAATGTACCCCACTCTTCCCTAGAATTGTTTTCCCCGCTGTCATTTGTGCCTGTGGAAACCCATTCAAACACTACTCCCCCCACCTCCTTCTTCTAGGAGTAGTGTGGCCGTCTGTTTGATTACATGGCTTTGGGCCTATTACATCTCCTTGCTGTGGAGCTTTGTATCATGGGTATTTGTGTATATCGTCCTACTAGATAAGGTGCTTCCTGGGGGCAGGAACTTACTACTTCGGGGACCATACAGTGCCTAGCACAATGGTTTGTACGTCATGTATGTTACAGAATTAAATATAGACACAATATGAACAATTGACTAAAATGCTCACTTTTTACATAACTTTTTTGGCATGAAATAGGTGCAGATTGTGTTCTCAAAAATATTCCCCAGTAAAGATAAATGAGAATTATTTAAATTATTATTTAGATAACTTATTAAGTATACAAAGAGTTGAAACAGAAATATCTATAATGTCACAAAAAGTTCCATGAATGATATGTATTTCATCAAGTCAGTTAAATGCTTTTTGTCCTCCTACAAGCCCCGCCCCTCCCTTCCTGCCTTACTCTATACAAATGCAGACTGCAGGTGTTCCCAGGCTAATGTTGGAGCTACTTTACAATGATATAAAAGTGGTACACATTCAGTACAAACCATACTTGGAAGTTTGAATTTTGACGTTTTTCCTGGGCTGGTGATATGAAGTATGCTACCCTCTCTCGATGGTGGGCTGCAGCAGTGAGCTGTCAGCCACAGGACCCTGAGAGCCAACAACCAACACTCTACAGTAGACCGTGTTATTATAAACTATGATGTTCGGTAGGTTAGATGTATTGAATGCATTTTGACTCAGGATTTTTTTTCAATTTTATAAAGTAGAGGAGCAACTGTGTAACCATGCTCCTAGACAATGGAACTGCAACCAGTTTGTGAGAGAGGGACAAATATAATTCTCTCCCTCATTTAAAATTGAAGTTCACAAAATTAAGAAAAAGGGTCTCTTCTTCAAAACTGTTTCCAAATTATTCCATGGGGTGAATCTTCCTATCATTGAACACACACATATGCGCGTACACAGACAAATAGTTTCTAGGCAATAAGTGTGCTATACTTTGTGCAAGATAAAATTTATGTTTTGAATATTCAGTTTAAGGGGGGAGAGATTATTTCAAATTCCATATATAATTATCCTAAGTATTTCATAGAATGATATAAAAGTGGTACAAAATGTTTAAGGTTCACATCTCTAAGTGAACTTCTTTTGATATTCTTGCAAGAAGGTTCTAAGGAGGCTCTCTTGGACATTTTTGAACCATCCAGAAAGTGGATCTGCTCTGATAGACAAGTTACAGGTTATTTGCTCTCACCAAATTCCAATAAGGATTGCAGTACAAATTAGTGTTGTGTATGTGACATCAAATGATTACATACGTCTGATGCCAGTCTGTCTTTTCTCTTTAGATTCCTCTTTCCTACCCCTTCACTCTTCCCTTCTTCCTATTCATAGCACACGAAAGTTCCAAATCAAGACTGAGATCATTGTAACTAGGAACATTGTGTGGACTTGAGTAACAACAAAAGTGTCAGTGCATTCATTTGTGTAGGCTCTAACATATATCTTTAATCCAAATGTGAACTTTTAAAAAGGTAAGTGTTGGCTGAATGCAATCCTTTTTCAGGCTAAAGCAAATGTAGTAGAAAGGTTGATGTGAATAAAAAAAAAACCTATGTAATTTTGTGCTAGCAAAGACTGCATCTACATGAAAGTGTTTTCATGTGCTTAAAACATTCACACATCCACAAATATCTACTGTGTGTAGAATGGCTTGTGTGTGAATGATATTGTGGGATGCAGTTATAATTTAGACAGATTTCTACCCCCACCCCCAGAAATAGATACATTAAGAAGAGAAGATACTACCAAGATATGACCTGCCCAGGATTCTACGGGAATTGTGGCAAAAGAGATAGGAGGAGGCAGAGGAAGTGATTCCTGCAGCAGAGGCACATTGAGGTAGTGTAAGAGTTTGAGCTATAAAGTGAGACAGACCCAGGGGCAAATTGAAATTTTCACTAGATGATCCTATGCTAGTTTCTTGTGCTTTCTAAACATCAGTTCTCTCCTCTTAAAAGAGAGATGGCTACTTTGTAAGATTGTCTTAAGAATTACATGAGATCATAGAATTACATGACATTACATGAGATCAATAATGTTATTATAACAATAAAATAACAGTTCCCAAGCCTGGCTGCATTGGAATCACCCATATAACACTTGAAAATATCCATGCCAAGGTGCATGCAGAGATTCTGCTATAACTGACACAAGGTACAGCTCTAGAGACATGAATTGTATATGGCTACCAGAGGGCTTTATGCCAAGAGAGGCATGGGAAGTGTATTTGATAAGCCAAATCTCATGATTTTGACCCATGCCCCTAGTGCAGTCTTTCTGTATATACTTGTCTTCCTCAATAATTTTAGTAATTTTTACTTATTTTTGTGTATGAAAAATGATGTTCAGCTGTGCTGTCCAGCCTGGCCCTGAATTCCTGGGCTCAAGCAATCCTCCTACCTCCCGCCTCGCCCTTCTGAAGAGTTGGGACTACAAGCAAGCACCACTGTACCTGACTGCATTTTTATTCTTAACATCAGAATCAAATCAGAGGCATGTCTTGAACTTCCCTTGTGTCTCCCACAGTAAATAAGACATTATACATGCTTTGTGTTTTAAATTATCTTTTTCCCAGATGGACCCAAGTAATAGGTTAATATGAATAGTAGAAATCATCTGAGGCATTTGCTAACGCAAATTCCCTGGCTCCTTTCCTAGAGATTCTGATTCCTGATTCCAGACATCTGGAGTAGGAGGGCGTCTTTATGTTCAACAAGGACCCTAGGTGATTTGTGCAATCAAACAAGTTTGAAAATAGTGCTGCGTGATTGATTTCAGTGCTATGTCCAATTATCTCTCTAATATTTTCAATATTTAAGACCATAATGAATCTGAATAATAGTCCTTTAAAAAAAACTCTGCCTCATTTCAGCTGTCTTCCCCCAACTCAGGAAAACATAGTAATCATCAACTGTGAGCAATAATATAAAGTAATAATATAACAAAAATATTACAGTAAAGTAATAATATAAAGTAATTCTGGGAAGTAATAGATTCTTAATTTAAGCAAATGATTTAACTTACTAAAACCAGGCCGGGCATGGTGGCACATGCCTGTAATCCCAGCGGCTCGGAAGGCTGACGCAGGAGGATCACAAGTTCAAAGCCAGCCTCAGCAAAAGTGAGGTACTAAGCAATTCAGTGAGACCCTGTCTCTAAATAAAATACAAAATAGGGTTGGGGATATGGCTCAGTGGTTAAGTGCCCCTGAGTTCAATCCCCTGGTACCTCCCCCAAAATTAAAAAATTAAATTAAATAAATAAATAAATAAATAAACTTACTAAAACCAGCATAATTTAGCAGTCATTTTCTGATTGCCAGTTCTGATGAACTTGAAGAATAACAAGGAGTAGATGCATCATATTAAGAATAACAAGAAGTAGAGGCATCATATTTCTTCTTATTCCCCATCCCTCTCTCTAAATCCATTCATCTTCCTATTTCTCTCTCCATTAAGGCGTAAGGACAGCAATTTCCAAGTTGAATACAAAGTCAGAAGTGGGTTCTGGCTATCAAACACCTTTCCTTTAGCTTCTAGAACACATGGTAAGATGACTGTGAAGCTGCTCTCACCAACCAGAAAGGCACAGGTTACTTAGACACCTCTCCTCAGAAAACAGACAGTCTTCTTAATCCAGTCTTTCTTAGAGAGTTATTGGGATAGTCAAAGATATGAGGGGGTGGGAAGCTTTGCAAATGTAATATCTTGCATAATTATGAAATAGTAGTCTTAATGTTAGTACTAACACTGTTAGTAAATGTCAGTAATCTTCAATCTCTAAGTTACTCAGATGTTCAATACCTATTCAATAGGTAAGTTCAGTATCTATTACTTAGATTTTCAATATCTACATTCCAATAAGCCTGTATAAAATGTGTGTAGACACGTATACACAAAACTCTGCTTCCTACTTATCCTAATCAAAACTGTATTGAATGTTATATAAATTAAATCCATTTACATGACTTAGTAAAATTAAGAGAGGCTTTAAAAGCAAACACAATAAGCTATGCTTTCTCATGTTTTAACTCAAAGAAATGCATCCTGGTTTTAGAAGTTTAAAAATAGAAAATACCGATTTTGACTTACCGTATCTAGAGAAAAATGAAAAGTTTAAGATTATTTTTTCCCTACGAATCACATCAAGAATGGAAATTTTTGCTTGTCTAATAGTTCTAGGTCTGGGAGAATTTCTAAGTGGAAAACAGTGATAAAATACCTTCCAGAGCTAAGTGTAATAATCCCAATTGTCTTCACCCAGCTTCTACCATTCTACCAACTGTTGCTATTGAAAAAGTATCATGATCACCACAGTGAGACTATCACAGAGGTAAAGCAAGTACAATAAATATTTCAGTGATAAGACTGAAGATCTAGGACACATGAGAATTCATTATTTTTTCAATTTTATTTGTTTAGATGAATTGAAATCTCCCTTAGAGATACAAAGTTAAATAGAATATATAGCTAGAATAAGCAAATTGAGGGGAAATGAATTAGTGAGTGATCCTTAAAGAGAGCATTAGGGACTATCTAGTTTATTCCTGGAGCAGTTTGAAATATGAGTCAAGCCTTATGTATTATTCTGCTCTAAATACTAGGAACTTCCAAGCATGACAATGACAGGTTGACACTAGTAACCATAATATTTGAGTACGGAATATTAGCTCTTTTTGTTATGTGAGCTCTCACTTAAATAGCCTTTTTGTTCATTCTTTCATTTATCATTTATTAATACTAAACACTATGAAACATTAGAAATCAAGGTGCTTCTTGACTTAGAATGGAATTACAACACAATAAATCCATCATAAGTTAAAACTGCATTTAGTACACCCAACCTACTGAATGTCACAGCTTGCCAACACAGTGCATTGCAGAGCATTGGTTGTTTACCCACTTGGTGGCAAGGGTGACTGAGAGCTATGGCCTCCCTGCTACCACTCAGCCTAATGGTATCAAGGAAAGATCAGAATTCAAAATCTGAAGTGTGGTTCCTACTGAATGTGTATCAACTTTGTACCATGGTAAATTTGAAGAACCACAAGTTGAACCGTCGTAAGTCAGGGACCATCTGTACACATGATATACATGTAACCAAGAGTTTACAGTCCAGTTGAGAAGACAAATGATATAAAAGTAAATAAACGAACATAATTTTCAGGAAGGAAATGAACAGAGTGTAAAGGTAAAAGATAATGGGGAGAGGGACTAGAGAAGCTATTCCAAATGGATCAGGAGGTTGATGAAAATATAACATTTGAGCCTAGACCTGAAGGATAAGGAACATCCAGATGAACAGAGGGAGAAACATTTCAGGAAGAATAACAGTGCATATAAAACCCCAAAGAGAGGGGAAAGGAGAGGGAATGGGAATGGGAATGGGAAAGACAATAGAATGAATAGAACATAATGTTCTGATGTTCATCTATGAATACAACCACCAGTGTAACTCCACATCATGTTCTACCACAAGAATGAAATCCTAATTAGAATAAGTTATACTCCATGTATGTATAATAGGTCAAAATGTGTTCTACTGTCATGTATATCTAAAAAGAACAAATCAAAAAATAAATAAATGAACCCCAAGGAGGTACAGAGTTGGCCTGCTTGAGGAACTACAAGGAAATTAGAAGTTGTTTTAAATTAGATTTAAGATTTCCTGCCTAGTTAAACATTAAAAACGAGGTTAAAATACAAATGTCAGGCACAAAATTCAAGATGTTGGTTTTTAAATTGTGCCATAATTTCTTCCAGATTACTCCAGGAAGCAAGGCAGCAGCTGCCAACCTCTGTCCTGGAGATGTCATCCTGGCTATCGATGGCTTTGGTACGGAGTCCATGACTCATGCTGATGCGCAGGACAGGATCAAAGCAGCCGCACACCAGCTGTGTCTCAAAATTGACAGGTGCCCCTTAATTAATGGTGTTAAAATTCGATCTTTTTTGCAGGAGAACGTGAACCACAGCTACAAATGGTTTCATCGTCCTAGAGAGAAGGACTGTCATAGCACCTAGAATTTTGACTGTTTTTTTTTTTTGTGTGTGTGTGTGTGTGTATCAGCCACATTAGTCTATTCTTCATTGAAGTCCATCAATCCAGTAGTTGTTGATAAGTCATTTTTAAAAGTTAGAATTCTCTAGAGTGTCCAAATAATGAAGAGGCCAAATGAATTTTTTTCTTCCTTTACTAACCCAGTCAATCGACTATAATAATAGCCATAGACCTTGTAAACTCTGAACAGAATGACTAGTAGTCCTGCTGTCCTCAATATGGTAGACAATGGAATGGAAAGTACAGAGGCCCCTAAGAGAATCTCTTCACTTGCCAAAATGTGTTAAAAATCAGCAGTTAATATCCTATAAGTCATTGTCATTTTTTTTGGACAAAATTCAGGCCAGAAGAATATTACAAGGTATGAGAATTCATGTGCATATAAGTGTGTTAGATGTGAGATCCTTCTGACCAAAAAAAGAAAGAAAGAAAAAGAAAATGAACCCAAACTCTTGTCATCAGACCCCTGATCTGAAACAGAACCATAAAAATAATGGCCAGTTATAGTGATTTTTTTGATATACATTTATCATATCATTACTGATTCACAATTATTTTTCTTGGTACAGAGGCTCAATGAATTGGCCAATCCACCAATTTCATGCGTGAAATAGATTCTTTTCCCATTTATGCATAATCTGTGCTGCTGCCAAGCACATATTCCCCTAGGAGTCATAAGGTCCCAGAGATGCCTGAGAAGGGCTAGTCAAAGCTCTGTTCCTGATGACAGTAGAAAATCTACCCAGTCCATCCTTCAGTGCTTCCTGTGGTGGCCTGAGTAGGATAAGAGGGAAGAAGGGGTGACCTGGCCTTTGCCTCTTGGGATCTGCATTCTTCAAGGGCAGTGCCATTTCCCACAGGCTCTGGGAGGCCAACTCTTTCCAGTGTACAATGCAATCTAGGCACTCTTGGTCTATTCTAGATTCCCCCAAAGGACACAGAAACATAAGACTAATTGGTATGGAAAAATACAGAATAATAAGTTAAAAAAAAATTCCTTTGGCTTAAATTAGTCGCTAGTACTCTCAAAAAAAAATAATAGGAAATTAAAGTATACTAAAACTTTGTTCTATTTCCAGGGCAGAAACTCGCTTATGGTCTCCACAGGTATCTGAAGATGGGAAAGCTCATCCTTTCAAAATCAACTTAGAGTCAGAACCACAGGTATGGATGTTAGAGTAAATGGTATTTGCATTATATTTCCTTTCAATGATGGGATGCTTCCAAGAGGAAGAAATGGGAAATGTAAAAATTGGAACAAGACCTGATGAAATGGTTGTCTGTCTTTACTTTCTGAGATTAATTTATGTGATACATGTTTTCTTACATCAAGAAAAAAGAGAAATATGCCTAACAAACATCTTGCTAAAAGGCAAGTATGTTCTCATCAGGAAGCATTTGGCTAAATTTACCTAGAGTCCACTTGTTTTTTCATTTCTTATCATGGACTCCTGCCAAAAGGCTATGAGGTAATCTAAGAAGTTTAAGTTGTTAAAACAAAGCAAAATAAAAATAGGCTCTGCCACTTGAAACAGGTGTCTCTAATCTAATCGTTGTTGGGAATTTGAGTTCTTCAAGGTCTTTGCCCAGATCTTATTTGACACCCTTCTTTAATTCCCAATTCTGATATTCTGTAATCAGATTTATCTTACAAAAGAAAAAAAGTTTTGTATTATGTTATCATGGAGATCTTCTGCTTATGCAGCTGAATTGCAAAAGATAGAGAACTTTCCCTTGAGGCAACTCTTATATCATGAGCTAAATGAATCAAATAATCTGATGCTTGTCTGTGTCTACTTTCCAAAAGTAAAAAAAAACAAAAAAACTGAAATTAAGTCAAACCTTAATTGTGATATCTGAAAAAGAGGCTCCAAAAAGAAAAAAGGCTGCTGTTAAAATACAAATTCCCACCCCCACCAAAATAAATACCCTATGTAATCTTTAGAGTTATAAGATTCTTGTCCTGACTTTTGACAGGAAGGAAGGTAGAGTTTGAGCCTAAAACCACAGGAGCAAAAGGAAGAGTAAGGAGACCCCAAAGGGAAAGAGCAGGACACTGAATATTCTTGAAGACAGGAACCCTGTGTCTATTCTCTTCTCTTTGGCTCTTCCAGGCCGTAGACCACAACAGCCACTCAATAAGTGGCTAACAAAGGAAAGAAAAGAATACAGGACCTAATGATAAACTGCGCCTTTTCTAACACTGGCCAGGGCCAGTCCTGGGAACAAATTCCCAGAGCTGATCTGCCACCACCTCCAGCTGTTGCATTGTATAAGAGATCTTGAAAGTTCAGTGGGATATTGAGGTCAGGTAAGACTCACTCTTCAGGGTAGGTGAGCAAAGGATAAAATCAACCAGATAGGTAATACAGGTTTAATAATAACCCTTATTTGAAATCCTTGAGACCAGAAGATTTTTACATTTCAATTTTTTTTTTATTTTGGAATATTTGCTTATACATTTTGAGATATTTTGTGGCCCAAGTCTAAAAATGAAGTTCATTTTGTTTTACATACATTTATACACATAACCTAAAGATCATTTTATGCAATATTTTTTAGTGTGCCTGTGTTTTGATGGCAACCCATCTCATAAGGACAGCTGTGGAATTTTCCACTTTCTCAAAAAGTCACCTATTTGGAGCATTTCAAAGTCAGGATTTTTGGATTAGGGATGCTCAACCTGTAAATATACTGATAAAGGATCTGAAAGCTGATGGTGATTTACCCTGGCTAGGTAGGTTGGTGAGAAGAAACACTTCCAGGGGGAGAAAAAGTCAAAGAGGTAGAAAAAAGAGATTGGAAGAAGAAAAAATGAAGTTCTCCAAGCAAAGCTATCACCTATATATAGCCCTTTGGATTACTGCCCAAACCCACCTGTTCTTCCCACCTTCATCTATTCTTCACTTAGAAGCAACACAAGAGAAAAAAAGTGACTCTTTGGTGCTTTATTTAAAGAAGACCAATCCAAATTCTTGCTAGCTCCAGGACAAATTAGATGGAATTCTTCATTCCTTTGTCCATATACAGCATCATCCAAAACTGCACTTCACCATTTTGCAAATTATCTTTCCAGTCAAATTTTCTTCTAATTTTTTAAAACCCTTTTTCATCAATAGGAGATGTAAGGAATGGAACTGACTAGACAGATTTGATCCAAGTTCCAAATCCCCACGGTCACTGCTCCCACCCTGACACAAAGATAATTTACCAAGTAGTATTCGATTAAGCACAAAATGCACTTAGACAATCAGAGCCTGCTTTACTACTATCTATCCAGATTTGAAGGTTAAAGGTAATTCCTGAGTTGTAGCTCTGGAAAGCACCTCTTTTGCAAATCTGTGAGCATTAATTTATGACTATGATTATTCTAAGAATTAGATTTTATGGCTTAATACTAATTTTTAAATAATCTGTCCTCTAGTCAGTCGTGTATTAGCCCATGTGGCCCATTTTGGAGTTAGAAAATATGAACATTTATGAAACTACAACTGGAAAAAAAGGAAATGAGATTAAAAAAAGAAAAGGTAAAGATAAGAGCTATAACCGCCAGTCAGATGGAGCCTTTAAAAATTCCATTAGTTTGAGTCATGACTAACTCTTACTGGCATCCTCTCCATGAGGCCAGTGTTTGAAGGGCTCAGAGATAAGAGCAATTTCAGGGTCTCCTAATGGACCAAATGGTTTCTACTCCTCATGAGACTCTAATGCCAGATTTCCATATGACCAGTTCACGTAACTTGTGCTTCAGGACAAACATTCTCTACACAAAATAGGTAAATTTCAGTGTATTGCCTACTATCTGAAAATCCTATGGCATAAACTAGGGGGGAAAATGTGGTTATGAAGATCAAACAGTGAATTTAACTTGCATACTGAGATCAGAGAAACACTAAGCTATGATTATTTTTTAAAATAATATGAAGCTATGTAAAAAGATCCTTTTTTAAAATCTTAATGAGAACTCTGCAAATAGAGCAGCCTTCTGGACAACAGAGGTGTGCCAGTTTGAGAAAAAAAAAATTCATCATGCTTTAAAATGTCATTGTAGATAGTGAAATTCCAATTAACAATACAATATTCAAGCTCTTGTTTCTCAACCCAAATCAAACTTTTATCATAGGTATTGTGACCTGTGCTTTACAATAAAATATTCTTTTTCATTTTAAAAGTGATATCTCTTCATTGCAGAAACATTATATCTATCAATCCATACCCAGTCACAAATAATTAAATGTTTATATATTTTTTTCTGTTGTTCTTTTCTATACACAGGTGTAAGCTTAGGAGACTTTTTCTTACAGAGTAATAATTGACATAAGAATTTTTAATCTTTCCTTTTTCATTTTCCATACTACCACTAAATAATCAAATTTTGTTTTCATAAACTTAAACTTGAATTTTAGGCTTATAAAGGACCTTAGAAATTGTTTAGATCAAATCCCAAGACTTGAATTAATTCTTTCCATAAGGTCCTGAACAGTCTAGGAGCAGATATACATGTTTTTCTATACAAAGCATTACTGTAGTCTAAGAGTATGTCAATAGTCCTTCAAAGGTGACATTCTCAAATAAATCATTACCCTTATTTTTTAATATTGGTTGATCAACTCAAAAACATCATGTGCCTATCATAGTAGAAAGATGTTTTTCAGGAAAAAAAAGATGGTTCTTCTCTAAATGAGAAGAAAGCTCTCTCCATTTTTATACAAAGGATTTCATCTATGCCATTGAAGATCTGATAATCAAGATGCACTTACATATACACAATGGAATATTATTCATCATTAAAAGAGAATAAAATCATGACATTTGCACATAAATGGATGGAGATGGAGAATATAATGCTAATCAAAGTTAGCCAATCCCAAAAAAACAAATGCCAAATGTTGAATCTGATACAAGGAGGCTGACTCATAATGGGGTTGGCCATGGGGGGCACGGGAGGATTAGACAAACTCTAGATAGGGCAAACATGTGGGAGGAGAACGGAGGGGCATGGATGTAGAAAAGAAGGTGGAATGAGATGGACATCATTACCCTAAGTACCTGTATGAATTCACAAGTGGTGTAACTATACTTTGTATGCAACCAGAGATATGAAAATTGGGCTCTGTATGTGTAGTATGAATTGTAATGAATTCTGCTGTCATATATAACAAATTAGAATTTTTAAGAAGATGCAAATTACATGCACAGTCACTGTATATTTTCATAGAGTTCACTTTAATCTGCAATGTTTAGATAACTGCAATGAGAACAGGAAACATTTGAAAAAGTCACTGGAGAAGATAAGGGTGACTTTATTTTTCATTTGAGGAGTGAGGATGAGGGAGGGGTAATTGGGCATAGATTTCAAATATGATGAAATGCAATTATTTCCTCATTGTGGCTTGGTCAGATATACACTAGCTTCCTATAGTTTGTTTCTCTCATTTCCCTCCATTTTTAAATGTAAGTTACAGGGAAATGTATTGCTCTGATGGAGGTGAGCATATCCTGAGACTTTAATGGTGGGTCATTTCTCCAAGGTAGAAACTGAAGGTGAGTTGTCCTTGAGTGCTGACATTGCTGAGGTCATTTCAAGGACTCAGAAGACCCTTATCAAGAGCTGCAGTCTCCCAGTGTCAGCAAAGCTCTGTCACATTTCTTAGCCTTATCTGCTAGCTCTAGCCTTATCTAGCTCTAGCATTTCGCTAATTGAAAATATCATCCCTTAATATAAGCTGCTATGGTTTAAAAATAAGAGTTTTTTAATTGTCAATTAATTTTGGATGATTACTTTTTGAATTCCTAGGAGATAAGAATTACTTGATGGTTTTGTCTGGATAGAATAAACACAAGAGCTGGACTATATTAACTGCTATATAAATTTTGTACAGCTATTTGTCTGTTACTCATTATTTTCCAAGAAAAGAAAAAAGGAATTAAAATGGGACAGCAAACCTCTAATTGGATTTGTCTTTTGATTCTGTTTGATGGTCAACAATGATGTAAGACTTGGATAGAAAGTTTCCTTTTAGTGCCATACTTAAATTTCTGTTTACCTTTGGTATATACACTTCATTGTGCTTTTGGGAATGACTCTGAAAACCAATAAACTAATGCTTTGCAAAGCCTAAATAAAAGTGTTTGAAGTCTGTGTTAGAAATATTTCCCCTTATGAACTGAATGGAAAATAGAGTAATTTTTTAACAAAACTTGCATTTGTGACCTTTGCAATGTATATAACCAAAATGGAAAATGGTGAAGAAAAGGCTTGGTGATATTTAACTTATGTATTGCTATTGATAAGACTACAGATTATTAAGATGCAAATAATTTCAGGAAGATTACATTATTTACAGTATAATTACCATCCATGTTTATTCCTTTTAAGGCTAAGAAAAATCAAGGGCAAAGATTTTTCCCATAAAGCCATTTTATTATGTTAATTAATTATAAATTTAATTCTATTCACCAAGATTTTTAAGGCATCTCATGCTTTGTTTAAAAAAAAAAAAAAAAACTAAGTTCTTCAAAGCTTGAGCCATTTAGTCCTGCCTAATTTACACTGTAATTAGCCTGAAAGATTTATAATTCACTAAAACTAAATTTCCCTCTATCTTTTTTTCACATCAGAAAGAGTTACAAAGACCTGGATCATGACTATTACCATTACTTACAATTATTTCCAGTTCACTATTTTCATGCCATAATAATGGTTAATCATAAAACACAGCCAATCTGACTTCATTATTAATTTAGCTAAAACAATCAGATTGTACCTCTGTGTAAATTTTTAGCTACACACATTTTCACACGTTCTGCAATTCAAAGCTGGAACATTTCTAAAGTTAAACTTTAGAAATGTCCTTCTGCTACAACAGCAACAATAATGTTGCCTTGGCCAATTCCTCTGCAGTGAGCCACTGTTGTGGAGGAAAAATTTAAATGAAATTTATCAGTAAATTCAATGTCACTATTGAAGAATTGGCTAAATTGCATTCAATTCAACCCTTCTTTTCAATTTCAGAAGATAAAATAAGAGGTTTTTACTGGCTTTACAAATTTATACAACCATTCAAAACTAGAAAACATTATTCCTACATTAACAAATACTAATACAGGATTTCAGATCTCTGAGGCGTGCTTCAAACTCAGAGTTTAGGATTCTGATGTGTGGTCCTTTTCCCTAAGTAAAGAAGTAAAAATCCTTTTATGACTCATATACACTGCTTATCTCTAACTTACTGACTTTCCAGAACTAGAATAAATAGGAAGAGTTCTTTAAATACACAACATGAAATCACTATAATAAAAGGGGGATCTATAAATGTTGTTCCTACTTTCACAATTATTTTAATCATTATCATTTCTTCAAAATTTAAGATTATAGCCTAATCCAAATTAAGAATTTTTTTTTGTTGTAGATACCTTTTAAAAATAGCATTTTTACCTAGATTAGTTAAAAACAATTCAGTGTATTTACTCATAAACCATCATTCTATAGATTATGTCTTAAGACATTGGGGAAGATTTCCCAAGACACTATCAGAAGAGAAAGCATATGTAAGTTCTTCTTGAAAAAATGTTAAGAGTAATAATTTTTTCCGAGCCAAAAATCTCATTTCTGACACAAATTTTCAATATTCAAATGAGTCATTACAATTTCTTAAAAGCATAGATGAAGTCAGTAGGGAGCAGACAAGAGATACAATATTTGAATTATCTCGTGATATTTTAAACAAGGTCAATTCCTTTGCAGGGTAACATTTGGTAGGTGAATATAGCACAAGCAAATTTCAGGGAAAATGACAGAAAGATGCACCCCTAACTCCTCCTTTAACCTTTCTGTCAATCTCATGGCAGGTAAGGATGCCTTTATTAACAATAGCGATGCTGTTAGTTTTGCTTACTAACGGCTTGTTGTGCACTCTGTGGCCTTGTGTATTTTGTCTGCCATTGTACAGGAATTCAAACCCATTGGTACCGCACACAACAGAAGGGCCCAGCCTTTTGTTGCAGCAGCAAACATTGATGACAAAAGACAGGTAGTGAGCGCTTCCTATAACTCACCAATTGGGCTCTATTCAACTAGCAATATCCAAGATGCGCTTCATGGACAGCTGCGGGGTCTCATTCCTAGTTCACCTCAACAGTAAGTACTGGTCTCTCAGTTCTGGCCACAATGTTCTTGACCTTGATAATATGGTTTCTTTTCTTTTCAAAAGTCCAGCTCTTGCTGTTTTTCTTTTACTTTCCTGAAGGCACTGTTGGATTTTTATTTTAAAGACAAGCATCTAGAACACGGTTCTAATTGTTTTGGAACCCAACCAGGCAGTTCCTGAACATTTAGTGAATAGATGGTTAAAAGAAGAAATCGTCCGGTTATATCACCACCCTTCTTAGTCATGTCAATATTTGGTGGTAAATAATCCTGTCTGTACAGTTGTTGTTCAATTGCTTTTATTTTTAAAAAGTCATCTTCCACTAAGGGATTTTTGTAACCCTTTGTTTTTACAGGATGTGAACTACTTTGAACACAAGCACAATATTCGGCCCAAACCTTTCATAATCCCAGGCCGAAGCAGGTCATAAATTCTGAGATTGTGAAGTTTGAACTGCATGCTCCTTTAATTCATTCTTACTAATTACCAAGAAAGTAACTTGTAAGATGTTTGCAGTGGCTCTTCTCATCGCATAGCTCATTTCAAAAGCAAAAAGAAAGGAACTCACTTAGCAGAGAGCAGAGGCCAAATAACCTCCATTTCTGTGAGTAAATATTGACAAGATTATAGAGCTGTGAAATTTCATGTGATCCCCATGTGTATTTATAACTAGTCCCCTGCTGCTCTGGGGATCCCATCCAGGACACGGTGACCTTTGAGTCACTCAGACATAGTCTATCCCAGGTCAGGAAAGCCCAGCCAGCAGGGACAAAAATGGAATCGTGCCCTGGGTCAGGAGTAAGGAAGCCGACAGGGAACACAGGGAAAGCTGAGGTCCCTCCACAGGCTTGACAGGTGCTGGTCATCCCACCTGAGTATCTGCTTCTCACTCCACCTTCAAATCACTAAGTCCAGCCCTTACATAAAGATAAACTGACATTCTTGTGGATCCTTGCAAAGAATCTTCTCATCCTTGCAAAGGAAGAGAAGCCCTCTGACAAGGAACTTTTCCACTTGCATGAAAAAAAGTATAAAGTAAAAGTTGAGAGGGAGGGAGATGCATTAGATACCCTCATGGAGAGCACTGTACAAATTAGAACAATAATAAGCCAGGTCAAAATTCTTATCCAAACAATCAGAAAAAGCTATCATCTCTAGATGATCCTTTTCAAATACCTTCTCTGGAAATTGAACTTCAACCTAAGGGGAAAGAACTAATAATGCCCTGTTTCACCACATGGTAATAAGGACAAGCCAGTGTGAGTCTATCATTTGAAGGTCTCCTTTAATATAGCTAAATTTAGAAGATGGGAGGAGAGGTACAGGAATAAGGATTTGCTTAAAAACAGATGCCAGTGAACAAATTATAAAAATGCCTCCTCGATCCAGCACGCCTGTAATCCCAGCAGCTCTGGAGGCTGAGGCAGGAGGATGGTGAGTTCAAAGCCAGCCTCAGCAAAAGTGAGGCACTAAGCAATTCAGTGACACCCTTGTCTCTAAATATTTACAAAATAGGGCTGGAGATGGGGCTCAGTGGTTAAGGGCCCCTGTGTTCAATCCTTGATAGCTTTTTCTGATTGTTTGGATAAGAATTTTGACCTGGCTTATTATTGTTCTGATTTGTACAGTGCTCTCCCCCTCCAAAAAAATAAGAGGCCTCCTCATCTTTCTTTTCTTCTTGTGCCATATCACTATTTTCTCTAGCTTCTGAACTTTCTGCTTCCTTTGAAAGAAGAATCTTTAGAGAGGAAATTTTAGGAGGCTACAAACCAAGCCATTACTGCACTATTAATGAACAGTTTATTTAATCTGAAGTAAATTGGACATGCTAAATTTGTAATAGCTCTGATTCTTTTAATTATTCCATCATAATTGAAGTATTTTAAAACACCCGTGTTTTATGTGCAAATATGTAAAATTTAAAGCCAAAGATGTAACTAAAAATATATGCAATGTATTTTATAGATCCAAATGTTAAAATACAATCCCTGCAAGTGGTTTTTGGACAAATTGCATCCAGAAGCATGCCCCCCAAAGTCTGTACGCACCCCAGAGAAATTCACGCTCTGTCACAATGACCTGAGTGTAAAGCTATTGAATGTGTCATCAACCTTGAAGGTGGTTTTTCCTCCTCAGGAAAACTCACTGATACAAACCTACTCCTTTAGCAAGGTCATGATGACCATGATAATAGCCACAGTGACTGGAGTCCATGAAAACTATTTTATTTTAAGCATCATTTTAAGAGATCTTTAAAAATTGTCCCAGAAATTTACAAAGGTTATTTTGGTTGGCTTAGGGTCTATATTTTCCATCCCTCTAATAGACATGAACCACTAACAGAATGATAAAAAAAAATAGGAAATAGAAGACACAATCCTTGCTTAACTAAAATTATATAAACAACCATGCCAATATCTCAAAACCCCAATAAATAAAAGAGTGCTAATTACAAAGTAAGGCATACCTATAATTTCCATTTGATAATATTTTATCCAGTATCCAGCACAATGTCTGACTTACAGCCAGGCCAGAATAGTTCTAAATGCTTGCTGAACACCTTCAGTATTTTGAACCCCAAATCTCTCAGTATTTTAAATCCTAAAGTACCATTTCATAAGCTTAGGTCAAATCAATGTAATCTTAACTAAACTCACTACAACTGAAATTTTACTTCTTTTACCAGCTGAAGTTAATTTTAGGATCCAGGGTAGTGTTGAGCCTACAAAATGGGTGAACAATGCCACTGGATATGATCTCACCAAGGTGCAAATTGAGTTTTAAACAGGTTCTCAACAGCCAGAAACTGAAAGAGAAAGACCCATTTACCTGCCTGGTTTGGGCTATGTAGTTCAATTAAAATTGTATAACACAATCTGAAAAGAAATTTGATCCATTTGGTGATATAAGTTGTTAAGACTAATCAGGCTGCAACAAAATCACTATCCAGTATCTTTCTGGGTTTTGCTATCTACATGAGATTGAAGCCCTAGAGAGTATACTCAGAAATGGGATTACACTTAAAACCTGAGAGAATATTGAATTTGCAGTAAATTAATCATATAAATCCATCATCCATCTTAAGTTTATAGTTAGCTACACTAACTGACAGGCATGAGAGAAGTTTACATGAATACTAACATTTCTTTTTTGCTTTGTCTTAAATGATTGAGCTTTTCTAAATCTCTTAATATATTTTATTTTCTCCTAAAATGCATCTAATGCTGCACTTAAAATTGCATGTAGAAAAATGTTGTGACCAACCTCCTATTCAGTTTCGTAAGGAATATGAAATATCCCTAGTTCTTAAATTTGCATGACTGGCCTTTCTGATATATTAGTAATAAGCCCCTATAACTTGTCTTCAAAAGTTAATGAGAAATATGCCTGGAAATATATGCGTGCTTCCAAAATTTTACATGAAATAGCTGTGCATCAAAGAAATATATCTTAGTCCAAGGGGAGCACCTAAATAATCTGTGACTATCTTATTTGTCCTCTAATAATTAATGGCAAGGTGAAAAGCATTTATTGGCTATTTCTAGATCCTGTATTAAGCTATGGGACAGTGTTTTAAAATAAAGGAATAAAACAGAAAATATCAAAAGAGTAATAAAATATTTACAAAATATTTTTAACACAACTTTATCTTATAACCTACAAGGTGCCAATTGCTATTCAACTGAAGGGCCTCTGTATTACTGAAAGATATTTCTTATTTTGAATATTTATTTTACATCTTTGGATCTTCCTGCTACATATTCAGCTACTATATGTGGAGGATCGTTCATTAATGTTTTAATTTTAATTAGTGTACTTCAGAAATGCAAAACAATGTCTAGCCAATATCTAGTCTATAATGTTGTGAGGTGTAAAGTTATTTGGCTTATTTTTTTTAAAGGGAGGATAGCTTCATCTATTCTATTTACTTTATATACAACTCTTTCTGCACTTAGCTTAACTCACAAATTGCCTGGTAGAGCCAACAAATGCGGTATCACCTGCGTCTTTGAATTTCATTAAACTTTTCCAATCATGAATCGTCCTTTTTAAAAACAAATTCTAGCTAGCGTCTTAGTTGGATGTAATTCACCTCTCACTTTTTGCCTTCCGTTCCTCACAACCTATCTGTCCTGTTCTCTGTGTCTGGTGCCTTGTGTTGTCTCTGTGTTGCGTGGTCCTTAACACAGTGGATGCAGCACTCCCTCCGGTATTGACGGTGGCAGTGGACGTAGCACCCCGTCTTCTGTCAGTACTCTTAGTACCATTTGCCCAGGTGACTTGAAAGTTGCTGCTAAGATGGCCCCTAACATTCCTTTGGAAATGGAACTTCCTGGGGTGAAGATTGTACATGCTCAGTTTAATACACCTATGCAGTTGTACTCAGATGACAATATTATGGAAACACTTCAGGGTCAGGTTTCAACAGCTCTAGGGGAAACACCCTCGATGAGGTAATGCCAGTCTTTTTGAACCATGAGCATATTAACTAAACACATGGGCAATGTCAACTTTAGTGGTATCTTTTAATAGTATCTTAATGGAAAGAAAACTATGTGGAAAGCTTTAAAGAAAAAATAATGAGGATTTATTGCAAATATCTAGTCCTGGTGGTCAAGAAGATTGGAGGAATTATCAAAGGCGATAATGTGACAGCAATAAAATAATATTATATAAGAACCAAAGTTTATGTCTTCTGAAAGCTCTAATGATCTTCACAAACATCTGATTTAGTACTTCTCAAACTGATTTATAATTTATACTATGTCTGTCTTTTGAGGGGTCAAAAATTAGGAAGGGGAGGGAGGGTCATAGAACTTTCATGAGATGATATCTCTTTTAATGGCAGTGTGTGAAGAGGTAACTATTTTTCATTTAAAATATTTGACTCACATAGAGTTTTATAAGTGAATACCTCAGGTTATGAAAGTAAATATTTAATTCCCATTGAGCTTTACTTTGACTTTTTTCTTATGTATTATAAATATGTTTCAAGTACTTTTGCCATCACACTTTTTCAATTAAAATAATTTATTATGGGATAAAATCTTATTACATCCTTCAATATTGCAGAATCACTTTTTATAAATCATTGTGATGCTTAAGAATGCTATGTAACAATATCTTAAAGATATTTCATGATAAATTCATTGAGTTAATAATATATCTCAGTCATTTTGCAAAAAAATTAATATGTATGATTATTTTCAAATATAATACAGGCAATTAAAATATGTGCATATTACTATCTTTTCTAGATAATGCAGTTAAATGACATAAAGAGATAAAGTTTTTAGCATCTGATAAATAGTAGTATGGTGATATTTTTAATTGTTCATTATATATATTTGTAGAAAACAAATTAAAATGAAGCTGCTATAATTCTGAATGGATTTTAATGTAGCTATTTTAAAAAGGTAGGATAACCAATTTAACAGATGTATAGATGAAGATTTCTACATTATGTGTTTTAAACAATGACAAATTGAATTGCATTGACTTACAAGTTAAATGACACTTTTGTCATTTCCACAAAACAAATTAACCTTAAAAACAAAATTAAGCAATTTACCCTTAGTGAAATATAAAAGTGAATCTGAGCGTCATTACAAATTTTATGACTGAGAATAATCGAACTGGGTTCACTCCTGCACTATCATGTGTATTTCTTTTTTCTGAAAAATTAATTTTATTCACTTCTATAATTGTATATATCTATCAGACACAAGTCTTGTTTCTTAAAATATCATTTCCTAACAATCACCTTTTGATTTCCCTCCAAAGTGTTTTGCCAAATGGGGAAGTACTGATGTGATTCCCAGGTCTGTTGCTCAATGACGTTTTTAAGGCAACATTTTTAATGTATTTACATTATATTTTTAATTAGAATATTTACTTGAAAGTCAATCTCGGTTCAGTAGTTGTTGTACACATAGTGATGACTGCATATTGAAGTCTGTTGCTGCTCCTGATGATGCTTCACCAGCCATACTTGTGTTTCAGTGAACCCACAGCCTCGGTACCCCCCCAGTCAGATGTGTACCGGATGCTCCATGACAATCGGGAGGAACCTACACAGCCTCGCCAGTCAGGCTCCTTCAAGGTGCTCCAGGAATTAGTGAATGATGGTGAGCAGCCACTAACATCTGCTAAAACATTATTGATAGAGGCCATTGGAAGGGTGGGACAGGAGGAGTACAACAAACATAACTGGATAAAAGTCTAAAAGATGTTTGGGGGGTTTGTTGTTGTTTTTGGTACCAGGGATTGAACTCAGGGGCCCTCAACCACTGAGCCACATCCCCAGCCCTATTTTGCATTTTATTTAGAGACAGGGTCTCACTGAATTGCTTAGCACCTCGCTTTTGCTGAGGCTGGCTTTGAACTCTCAATCCTCCTGCCTCAGCCTCCCAAGCTGCTGGGATTACAGGCAGGTGCCACCTTGCCAGGCCTAAAAGGTGGTTTTAGTCAGTAATCAAATGAATCATTGCTCAGAAGGATTTGGGTGGTCCCTTGTTTAGGAAAGGAGTCTTCAGGTAATATCCAAGTAGCCACAAAATGAAACCAGTCATATAAAGTCACCAAAGAAAAATTCTATCCATGGTAGTCAAGGGTAACCCAGATCATGAATCATAAAATCCAGTTTTAAGTAGACATCATAAAATTCCTCAGCTGCCCAAATTTAGGACATCATCAACATCAAAGTAAAAAAAAAAAAAATGAAACATTGTAATGAATCTTTAAAATGTTCTGAATTCTGTGCAGAGTACTTTACACACATTACCATGTAATCTTCACTATAACTTATGGAGGTAGGAGCTATTATTTGCCCTATTTAATCAATAAGAAACTGAGATATAAGGAATGCAGGCTTATCCAAGGTGACACTGCCAGTAAATAGCAGAGCTGGGCCTCTAGCCCATTGCTGCTGTCTACCGATCTTACAGTCTTACCCATGCTTTTCCACCCCCAAAGATATATACTTGTCCTTTAAAAAGTTACACAAAAATGCAAGAGTCCCATTAAGATGGGTACTGTCAAAAAAAAAAAAAAAAATGGAGGGCTGGGGATAGAGCTCAGTTGGTAAAGTACTTGCCTCACATGCACAAGGCCCTGGGTTCAATCCCCAGTACCACAAAAAAAAAAAAACAGAAACAAGGGTTAGTAAGGAAGCTGGCACATACCTGTAATCTCAGTAAATTAGGAAGCTGATGTAGGAAGATTTTAAGTTTGAGGCCAGCTTCAGCAACTTAGAGAGACCCTGTCTCAAAAAAAAAAAAAAAAAAAAAAATGCCTGGGGATATAGATGAGTAGTTAAATGCCCCTGGGTTCAATCCCCAGTACAAAAAAAAAAAAGTTGGCAGGTATATGGAGATTATGAGAACTTTTGTGCTTGTGCATTGTAGAGAGAAATGTTAAATGGTGCAGCCACTGTGGAAAACAGAATGGTAGCTCTTCAAAACCTTAAATGTAGAATTAACAGTCGTGCATGCCTGTAATCCCAGTGACTTGGACTGAGGCAGGATGATCTTAAGTTCAAAGCCAGCCTCAGCAACTTAGTAAGGACCTAAGGGATTCAGTGAGACCCTATCATAAAAATAAAAAATAAAAAAGGGCTGGGGATGTGGCTCCATGGTTAAGTTCCCTGGGTTTAATCCTTGGTATGAAAGAGAGAGAGAGAGAGAGAGAGAGAGAGAGAGAGAGAAGGAGGGAGGGAGAGAGAGAGAGAAAGAAAAAGAGGGAGGAGGAGGAGAGAGGAAGGAAGGATGGAAGGAAGGAAGGAAGGAAGGAAGGAGGAAGGAAGGAAGGAAGAGGGTAGGGGGGAGGGAGGAAGGAAAAGAAAAAACATGGAATTAACCAGTGAAGCAGCTGGAGATATGTATCCCAAAGCAGAAACTCAAGCAGATACATGTACACCAGTGTTCACATTATTTGCAAGAGCCTTGGATAAACAAAATGTGGCATATACATAATATATTATTCAGCTTTAAAAAGAAATGAAATTCTGATACATGCTGGAACATGGATGAACCTTTAAAACATTATGCTAAGTGAAAGAAACCAGACATGAAAGGATAAATATTGTATGATTCTACTCATATGAGACAGCCAGAATAGACAAATTCATAGTGACATAAGGTAGAATAGAGGTTACCAGGGACAAGGAATGGAGAATTATTGTTTAATGAATACAGAGCAGATGATTAAAAAAAAAGTTTTAGAAATGGATATTTAGGATGGTCGCACAACACTGTGAATGTACTTAGTGCCACTGAATTGCACACTTAACAGTGATTAAAATGCTAAAGTTCATGTTATGTATGTGTTCCACAATAAAAATAAATAAATAAATGAAAGCTGCCCTCTGCTCATTTGAGCATTTTGTAAGAGCTTCCTCCAAAAACAAAAACAAAACCAAAAAAAATTTAACTAGTTCTCTTTTTTGAAAGTTCCTATTTCAGAACCAAGTCTCTTCTTTGTCAACTGGTCCTGCTCTTTGGAAATGATAGCACAGATAGAACTTAAGAATTCCTTAGGTTAAAGTGCACACTTTAAAATAGAAGCAAAGTACAAACTGGAGCCAACTGTTCCTTGCCATAAATGGAAACACTTTGTTTTTCAGATGACCGTCCTGCTGGAACCCGAAGTGTGAGAGCTCCTGTTACCAAAGTCCACGGTGGTGCTGGCAGTGCTCAGAGGATGCCACTCTGTGACAAATGTGGGAGTGGCATTGTGTACGTATTATTTTTAACCCAAAATTTCACTATAAATCTTGGTGGCCGTTTTCCATTTCTTATACTTTGAGACTTTATGTAGAAGAGGCAACTATGAAAAACTTAAATCTCTACCCATCAACTTGAAATATAATGCCCACAAACTTTAGCACATTTTGACCAGCATTCCTTAGCTATTCCCCCAAACTGGCATATAATGTGAATCAGCAATAGCAATTTTACTTTTATAAATAACTCTTGTGAAAAAAATGCCCAAATGTGTTTTTAAATATAATTTCCAAGAATTGTAATTTAAAAGCCCTCCCTTCTTTAATATATAACCTTTTAATACTTCCTTTTCTCTGTAAACAGAGAGAAACAAATATAGGGATCATCAGGTTGTTAATTAAAACACATTATCTTTACCCATTTGCTTAAGTTACACAAATGTTAACATATGATTTTTCTAAATAGTCAGGCTCCATTTCAACAGACTTCATGTTTAAATAGCCATGCTTGCTAACTGGCATTTTCAAGTGAACCAGATTATTAGAATCTCTGTGCTACATGTGTCTCATGTAGCCACTTGTCTCACCTCTTTTTGCTGTTTCCCTATCATAAGCTCAGGCACCCAAGCAGTAACATCTGTCAAGTGATTTAGGCTACATAGGAAGAGGGCAGTGGGGAATGAGCCTGATTGGAACCAGGGGAGGAATGTGAAACAGGAAAGAGTAGAGCAGGTCGCTTGGGAGCAGAGAGAATCTTAAGGAAAAAAAAAAAAAAGTCATGATGTCACCAAAAGCAATTATTGCACTAAGTTGGAGTAAACTGTTTCCACCACAGTAAAGGCAAATCCACCCACTCCCTGAGAATCTTTGCAGAGTTTGTCTTATCTATATCAGGTCTCTTTTCAAAGAGGAAAGAACTCGGTATAGGATCCTATGGGTTGTTGGGTTGGTTGGTTTTTTGTCTGCAAACTACTTGTTTGATGATATGAAAAAATATTTGTACATCAACCCCAGAGAGAAGCACGGGATGATTCAGTCTGGTTGTCTCCCACCTTCCTGTCACATAACTGTCACCTCCCTGGGCGGATCTACAACTGGAGACAACTGTTGTTTCTAGAATGTGAAGCAGATAACACCTGCCTTCTGTGTTGTGTTCTCTCCCTTTGTGTCACATACTCTGTTTTTCACTTGAACTTGTTCCTCCCAACAGTGGTGCGGTTGTGAAGGCCCGGGATAAGTACCGGCATCCTGAGTGCTTCGTGTGCGCAGACTGTAACCTCAACCTCAAACAGAAGGGCTACTTCTTCGTGGAGGGGGAGCTCTACTGTGAAACTCACGCAAGAGCCCGCACGAGGCCTCCGGAGGGATACGACATGGTTACTCTGTATCCCAAAGCTTAAGTCCCCTGCAGCCGGAGCAGGCTCGCATGCACGCACCCACGCACATTCGCACGCAAGGAATGGCTTTGGGTAGGACCATGGCAACTGTCAACTCCGAACCTAAAGCCAAAGCTTTTAGATGTTTATTGGAGGGGGAAAAAAAGGGAAGACAGATGCCTGCTCTATGACAAAAACATACGTTTAGCTATGTTTTGCAACTCTTTTTATCTTTGGGGGATAGCAATAATAACATTTAGAGCAATATTTTTTTTTGTATGTCGTGCTTCAGAATTTGCATTTATAACATGATCATTCAAAGCATAAACATCAAGATATTTGGGGGAGTCGAGTTATCTTTCCTAGACAAGTTGATTTTGGAAATTGTGCTAAATACAAAACAATAGTCTTGTATTCTAACATAATTTGCAACTGTCTGTATCTGTTTTAATTATTAGCATGCATGTCCAAATTCCCAGGATTTCTCTGGTTTCATATTCAAACATCTATATCACTGAATGCAACAAACATAATAAATATGTAAAATGTTTTTAAAATACCTAATGATGTGGCACTCAATGAATTTAGTTAAAATCAACATTTCAATGAAAGGGCCCAATCATATCTTGACATGTACAAAAACACCCAAATATTTTAATATTTGTTGGTTTATATAACTCACTCTTTCTTAAGAGCCCAACTTTTCTGCTGATGGGAGGAGCATTTAAATTTTCTAGTTAAAGTTAATTCTGATTAAGTTTACTTGGCTTTGATACAGTCTCTTTCAATTGAAATGTCCCTTTCAGATAAACACTCAGGCAAATGGAATTTTCAAAGTCCATCAAGGCTGTTTGTATGCACTCAATGATTTACCACTGCCTCCTCCTCCTTCCTAAGATAGCATCTCTAGGAGTAGACAATTTAAGAGACATCTTAAAAAAGGTAGAGACAACCAATTTCCTGTGTCCTGCTTATATCCATTGCTGAAATCTATGGTTTCACTTGGGGTCTGTTTCTCAAAATGGTACCAAGCAATAACCCCATTTCCACCACCACCTCCAGAACTCTTAGCTCAGCCTCCCAAGGAGTCAAGCATCCTTTGCATATCAAACATGAACTCCATCTGGCCTCTGGCCCAGGCAGTCTGCCATGTAGGCTCTTGGAGTTATGTTGCCTCTCAGCCTCGTGGCCCTCATGGCAATGCCCTTGACTTGCATCTCTCACCTCCTTCCCATGTTCCTCATCAGGGACACATGGGAACTTCTGAAACTGTCTCCTCAAAGTTCAAACCATGGGGAAGCAGCAGGGTGGAGAGATGGGAATTCTCTCGGGCCCTCTCTCCCCACCTCAGCACACAGGCTTCTCTACCCTACTGCAGCTGCTGGTTAACCTAGAGCAAGTGTTCTCCTCCTGGGGTGTCCCAAATAGGACACCAGTTTTATTGCTATGGGATTCTCCCAAACTTATTAACTAATTACTTCTGACTCTGACCTCCCAGGCATCCAAGACTTATTTTACCAGAGATCTGACTCAGTGAGAAGAGCCAGAATACCTGCCTGGCCCCTGTACGCATTTGAGATGCAACTTCTATGCCCAAATATTTATTTACAGAACTATTTAAAAAATAAGAAATGATTGAGATAAAAATATGAATGTATCCAAAATACATTTTTAAAGGAGTAAAAGTTTATCTTGGAGCTTATGGTTTCAGAGGTCCCAGTCCACAAACAGCCAGATCCATTGCTGTGGGTCAGAGGTAAAGAAGAACATCACGGCAGAGAGGAATGGCTGAGGAAAGCAGCTCAGAACTTCACGCAAGGAAGCAGAGAGCCAAAATACATTTTTATGCAAAGGTTATTTTTAAATATTTTGTCCTGGGAAACTTAAATATTTGGAAACTAGAGAGTGAATGAATTATCATTGGCTTAGAAAACCTGAGAAAGTTTAAAGCTAATGTAGCAATGAGAAAACTGAAAACCAATCCCTTTAGAATCTTCAGAATTAACAGGATGAGGCACTTTGGGACTAGACAATAAAGGTGTAACTACCATAAGAAGGACTGAGTGGAAGCTGTTTTAAAATCTCTTAATCCTGGAAGTAAGTTCCTTTGTCCCCCTACATGCTCAAACATACTCCCCATAATTTCCCAGTAAGTCTGTATTGTCCAGAAAAAGTGAGGCAGAACATCTTTGAACTGGAATATGGACACACAGCCAATGGTAGGTGTTGCATACTGAAAAAAAGAACAAATTAAGTAAGAATAAATGACTCAGGAAAAAAGCGTACATTAGGCATTATGTTGTATATGAATGTACACTGTATACTAGACATTAGTTGGTATTTTCCTTAAAATTATATTTTACATATATGTAGTAGATTACACAATGAACTGCTTAAGTTATGGTTTAATAAGTAGCTTTTTATTATTTTTAATTTTTTTAATTTTTACATCCTCAGTGTTAGCAGAGATCCTGTTGTTTAACAAACATTTGTTCAGACAAATAGGTGGAAGAAACAGTCACTTGCTCATCTGAGTCATACACTTGCCTGTGATAAGTCTTCTCCTAGTTCAATATATGGATCTAAATAAAACCTTGCCTTTGGGAGAGGGAGAAGGGGAAGGAAAGGAAGGTTCTGGGAAGGAGACTGAGCAATTAATGTTGCGTGCATGTACAATTAGGGCATAACGAATCCCATTATGTACAATTATAATGTACCAATAAAAAAAAATTTGTTAAACCTTGCCTAGATTCTGACAAGGTCAGGCACAGTATGACTTCATATAAACTTGGCTAAGATAGGCCTCAGGGAGAGGGAGTTCCACTTCAGTGAAGAGAAAGAATCCACCAGGTGTTTCATCAGGAGATTCAGCTTCAGTACTCGGCATTGAAGGGGTATTCTGCCAAACGGGCCTGGTCAGCCAGAAAACAGGCCCTCCGGTTTTTGCTGAAGCTGAGTATGGTTGCCAACTCCTTATCGCTCCATTTGAAGTCAAAGACCTGAAAGTTCTCGACAATGTGTTCTGGTGTCATAGACCTGGGGATCATTCCTCGGAATCTGGAACCAGATCAAAACCTTAGCAGAGGATTATTTTTTGTGTTTTGCGACAATCTCCTTAATCTTGGGGTCCTCCCGTAGTGAAAGGTCTTCTGATTTGGCCCAAGGTCTACCTGGAGAGCCCAAGGGGCTGTAGGCTATGACAGTGATTCCCTTAGGGTGGCAGTACTGGATCATTTTCTCCTGGGTGAGGTATGGGTGAAACTCAACCTATTTAGTCACTGGTTTCCATTTGAGTCCGGGCTTCTTCAAGATCCTTTCCATTTGGAAGTGATTGAAGCTGGAGACACCAAGTGCTTTCACTAACTCCTCATCCTCCAGCTCCTTCATGACCTCCCAGACATCCAAGACTGTTATTTTACCAATGAGGTTGTTGGTTTTATCATCTTTGTGGAAAAAAGTCCTTCCTAGACAGAAATCCCTGAGGCCGATAAGATAGACATCCAGATAGTTTAGTTTCAGATCCTTGAGGGTCTTCCAACAGGCTTCCTTCACAAGATTTCTCTCAAAGAAGATGCACTACAACTTGCTCACAATAAAAAGGTCCTCCTGCTTCACCATCTTCTCCTGGATATCTTCTCCTACCTTATTCTCATTCTGATTGGAGTAGGCACGGTCTATGTGGTGATATCCTGCACCAATGGCCACCTTCACAACTTCTTTGCCTTTGCCTAGGGGAGACTTCCAGGTGCCCAGACCCAAAATGGGCATCTTGGCTTTGGTGCTGAGCTCCACAAAGGTAGCCATGGTTGGAAATGGTTCTGAAAGAGCAGATAGATATCTAGTGTCTTCAAGAGGTTTTTATAATAAAAATAAAATTGTATAGTTCTAATCTGAAATTTAGAAGAGATATGTTTTGGGGTTTTTTTGTTTATTTTTTATTTTATTTGTTTGGTTTTTGCACCAGGGATTGAAGCCAGGGGCACTTAACCACTAAGCCACATCCCCAGACCTTTTTAAAATTTATTTGTTTTTTGTTTTGTTTGTTTGTTTGTTATTGAGATAGGGTCTTGCTAAGTTGCTTAGAGCCTCACTTAGTTGCTGAAGCTGGAACTGAACTCGAAATCCTTCTGCCTTACCCTCCCAAATCTCTGAGATTACAGGTATGCACCACCACACCTCACAGAAGAGATATGTTTTAAATGGGATAATTTAAACTATGTGACTAAGGCCAATTAAGCATGCCCTTACATTTCACATTCATTATTTTGAATAAAAAAATGTTCTTTTAAGAATTCAAGCTAGAAATTTAAACATGGAAAAAATTAACTACAGAGTAAAGAAATAGAAATACATGTTATATAAAAATTGTTCTAAAATATACAAGATACAGAACAAGAATGAAAATAACAACATTGAAATGATAAGAGATTCAAACTTTTGGCCAAGCATAGTGATGCACATCTGTAATCCCAGTGGCTAAGGAGGCTGAGGCAGGAGGACCATGAGTTCAAAGCCAGCCTCAATAAAAGTGAGGTGCTAAGCAACTCAGTAAGACCCTGTCTCTAAAAAAAAAAAAAAAAAAACACAAAATAGGGCTGGGGATGTGGCTCAGTGGTTGAGTGCCCTTGAGTTCAATCCCCAGGGGGGATGGGGAGAGAGATTCAAACTTTGTAAAAAATCAAACAAATATAAAAGCAAGATTTCTTCCTTACACCATTTGTCCTTTAATAATGAATTCATAATAGGAATTATACATAGAAATTCATGCCATGAGCAAAGAATGACAACCAGTTTATACTTTAGCTCACATAATAGCATATTTTCTTAGAAAACAGATTTAGTCACTATTCACAAATTTATAAGCTTTTGAAAGCTAACTATAATCAATTAAGCTATCCATAATTAAGAATAGGGCTTCTATGAACTTTGGACTCGTGATTAACTAAATTACTGTTTCTCAGAGTGAACTTAGGAGAGAGTTGCCACACTCTACTGAAAAGGTGATTGATTGAATGAAAACAATTCTAGTTATCATATTTTTGCAACCTGGTAGGCAGGATAGAATAAAGCTTAATGGTTAATGTGACCCACTAAGATAAAGTTTCCTAATTGCCCAATAAGTGTACACTCCAAGATTAGCAGAATGGAGCTTTGGGTTTCTTAACTACTTTATTCACAAACATCTGTCAAATTGTCCTTGGAACAGATCTGATTTCAGTCCTAAGAAAAACTGCTACTTTTAATGATTACTCTTTATTATCATGTCACCATGGCCTAAAGTTCTTTTCTTTTTTTACACTATGACATCTGTATTTAAGCATAAAAAAGAAGATTGAAGAAAGAATGAGGCATAACAAGTCAATAAGCCATTTGCTTTAAGTATATGACATGTAATGATTATGCTCTCAGGTCTCCGGCCATCGTGGGGAGCACTCAATAAATATTTATTGAGTACCCACTGAAAAAGAAAGGTTAAGATGACATAACAAAATAGTCTTTTAATACTTTTGCCCATATTTATAAATTAACTTTTTAAAGCTGATTAGAATGTTGCATGTG